CCCATAAAAAAAAACCCATCGTGATGTTAATGTAGCTTAGGCTACACGAATCTTACAAACAAACCGCTGAAACAGAAGGTTTGTTGTTGAGGCCCAGGCCCAGGCTAAATAGGCTACTAAATAATATTCTTCGCGCCACCTAGCGAAACAGAGTTCATTGCCCCTGCTCTGCCTCCTCCTCACGTCAGTCCCCAGTCTCGTCTGCTCTCTCTCTCTGGCAGAGACTCTGCCACTGCCCCAATCATCCCAGTGAAAACATGGCGCAGCATGATCAGCGATGGCCGAAACGTTGGATACAGTGTGGAAATTTCAATTGTATCGCAATTTAAATACAGTTCGACAATGTGAGTAGTTTATTCAGCCTACCCAGTTACCCTTCTTTATGCACCGCACGTTTATTTCTCTCTCATGGGTTTCGTTTATGTGTATTCTGTCTTCTTTTCTGTGTCGGGAGTCGGGGGATTGTCGAAAACCCAACGATGAATAGTTTTTCCGATAATCAAGCCTGGTCCTGTGTGTAGGACACAGTATCCGAGCGTGCGCGCAGTGGATAAAACACACACCGGCAGGCACAGCTGGTCTTGTTCTCGACGCAACTGGTTGGCTTTGTGAAGAGATCACTGGAGAGGTAAACTGAAGTGAGCGTCGTTCTGTACTCCTATTAGAGTAAAAACCTTAGTTTCTACGACGGGCAGTGACGAGGTGCACAGTCGCAGGATGGGGACACTCGGGGCTTGGGAAGTTGACAATGAACCGTGTCAGTACTGTCAGTTGTCAGCAGTGACAGCAGTAGAACTGCTGCACAATAAAGGTTATAATAGGCTTTATTTGCTGGGCCACATTAATTTCTTTTAGTCATTGATTGATTTCTCCGACATTTTGGGGCATAAAGATGATAATTTTTATAAAAATTTGAAATTAGATCTCTATCAGACCAGACCATCAATGATTTATTTATAGAGGCACCTGCCATCCATGTAGATCTCTATCATTATCATCATGTGTGCATGATTGATTGTAGAAAAATAGTTTGCATAGATCTAGACCTAGTCTAGATCTTAGGGCCTACAATCTAGATTTCTAGGCCTATTTGTCGGAGGGTGTTCTGCATAGGGAGGGTGGCTGACCAACATCACTCTAAAGAGGGGACATTTTGAGTGGGTCCAGGTGTACAAAAAGGAAGTGGTAAGTGGTTAATTCTTACCCGGGGTGAAAATAAATCATGTTTGTGTCTGGAGGCAGGGTTGTCAGTTTAGAGCCAAATCCCAGAAATTTGGCTCTTTTGGGTCACGTCTGGCCCGGAGAATTTCATTTGGCTGTCTCTGGCTCTTTTTTGGCTCCAAACTCCAAATGTTCAAGAAGATCGGGAAAGTTCGTAGAGTACCTCTCGGGGCGGTGCCATTGACTACTGAATGTCTTTATGCCATTCCCAAAGGGGGGACATTTCTCGTTCATGTACAGTAGAATTGTAAATGGGCTGATTCATCAATGTCACGCTCATAACTGTGCCTGATCTACAACAGGGAACTGCTGCTTTTTCTTTCCTAATCCTTACTATTGTCATTTTTCCTCTACTGCTTTTGTATTTTGTCACCTTCTTACAAGTGACCCGCTATTTCCGGGGTGCCTTGATAGTCGAAGCAGACTTTATGCTGTTGAAGCAAGAGAGGTGAGCAGAGTAAATCTGATTCCCTGTAAGGATTTCTCTGTTGTCATCCACCTCTTGGCGCAGTTGTAAGCGCCGTAAAACCTCTACTAAAACTAAAAACTAAAAAGTTCGTAGAGGCAAGAAAAAAAGAAAAAGAGAATAAAAGAAAAAAAAACAAAAGTGAAGAAAAGAGCTTGGATTGCTTATAATAGATCTAGTTAACACGATTTAACGCCCTCGCCCATTTAGTCTGAATAGTTTACAACCTTTCTACTGGTGTTTAGTGTGTAAACAACGAATGGTCCGGCCGGTCCCACATCCCGCGTAGTAGTCTCAATATAATTATTTTTTACTGGAGAGGCGAAAAATGTTTTTACATTATTCTATTTGTTGCTCATTCAAGATTTAATTTAGCAAAGATGGTCATTTTATATATATATATATCTGTTTCAAAAGTCTGTTTGCACATCGTAATTTTCCATCCCCTATCCCGACTTTAATTCTGTAAGAGTAAGAGCGCTCCTTCATCTCATGGGATTCACCATTGAACACTTGAAGCAGGCTGAACTATTGCATTAAAAGAATATTATATCTACATCACTGTTGATGTCCAGGGGGGTGGGGGTGAGAATAGCGGGTCATGAGTTATTTTCACCAGGGGTGAGAATATAGTTGGCCATACAAAAAAAAAGTTTGGTTTAGTATTTTGCAAAAATAATATTTTGTGGCTGTAGCAGGGGAGACCCCCCCCCTCCTTTTGTTGACATTTTATTGTTTTTGCATCCCCCCCTCCTCCTTCCAAAACGGAAGTCCGATATATTCTCAATAGTCAACAGAAGAAGGTAAAGGACTTAATAAAAACATGTTTGATGACAACTAGACCATAGCACTTTATCATATTCAACTAAAGATACACACACACACACACAGTCATCCCACACACACACACACACACACACACACACACACACACACACACACACACACACGCACACGCACACACACACACACAGAGTCATCCCATTTCTTAAAACAACTGTTTAGTTTAGTTTTAGTAAGAGTTTTACGGTTCTTCCAACACAATATGGTCATATAAGTGCCGAAGATTATATATATGTGTTACAGTACAGTACTAGAAAGTCTTGTAACAAACACAAAAGAGGAGAAAAGAGACAAGGACGATATATATGTTTGACAGGAAAGAAGGAGCAAACCACTCCAGAGAACCTGCCTACCACCCACAACAGCTGTGTGGATTATAGAATGTTTCATTTTGCCTGTAGCTGCCTTTTCCGCCATTTACATTCATTTGGGAGTGAGGTTGACACCTTTCTAGATGAATAAGTATCAATCCGTTCACTTTTTTCACACCCTGTGTATGTAAATTGTGTGTGTGTGCGTGTGTATGTTTATATTTATGTGTGCGCGTGTGAATGTGTTTTTGGATCTAGAATCTAGATTAGATCATATTGTTAGAGAAAATGTTTTTATTGAATCGGAAAGATTTTTTAAAGAAAATATGTTTACAGCAGTTTTATCCTTAAGAAAAAGAATATATGACATATTTCATGACCATATTAGGAATTTAGGCCTGCAGGGTTCCACTGAACCGGAAAATCGGGATAAAACCAGGAATTTCAATTTCAGATTTTCCTATCAAGAAATCACCATGAAAATGAATGAAAACGAAAATAAACGAGAGAAAGCCTGGATATCAAAGTGCTGCCCACAATTATGCATGGCAGAATCATTAAGGTTTTAAAACTGTTATAAAAATTATTTTCAATTTTACGAAAATACAATCTTAACACTTCCACTCCAACCCCCCCCCCCCCCCCCCCCCGATTCCGATTTAAAAAAATGTTATTTAGATTTATTAGGAAAAGTCAGATCCCAACAGTCTACGTCATTATAGTGTCATGTGCAGCTAAATAACACTGTCTGTGCCGTGAGCCCCAGTAGTGGCCCAGTAACAATTTGCCTTTAGAAAAACATTGCTAGAAGTAGGTCAATATTAGTTTGGCCAGGTGTTAAAGAATTCTTGCGCCTATGCGTTGTAGGTGAAAAAAAAAAGCAAACAACAAAAAACGATTAAGTTTGAAACTTGAAGCAATTAATTGCGATAATAAAGTAAACCCCCCCCCCCCCCCCCCCCTCTTTTTTTCTCTTCAAACTGGACAATGAGGAGCCAGCCGAGACCTTTCATCACGCCTTTGTTTATTTTACACTTATCCTATACTATAACTTAGTATAACCCCTATCGTTGACACTCACACACCAGGAAAAGGGACTGTCCAAGGCCATGTCACAATTTTATCTTGCATTCTTCATTTTTTCTTCTTAGCTCTGTATCTGTCATCTATTTCTTAAAAAATCACTTTGAAATGGTTACAAAATCCATGAGGAAACCAGGAAAAGCCTGAGAAATTTTTTTCCGTAATGAGTGGGAACCCTGAATTTAATGGTTGACCTTTCAGGGGAGTGATGGTTTGAGGTACTGGATTGCTGGGGGAGGTGATGGTAAAAGAGTTGAATTATTGATAAATGCATTTCGTTTTTGTCAGTCCAGTAGCCCATTGGCTCTCATGCTCTTCAGTCCTTTACCATGCTTTGGGATAATATGTGTCGCGACGCGGTGGAATCGGGCTCTCGTCAATTTTTAGGCATGTAGAGTTATTTGTCCCCCCTGGGGTGGGGCCACTGACTTGAAGTGTCTTTAGGCCATTCCCAAAGGGGGGACATTTCTCGTTCTTATGAACATTAGAATTATAAATGGGCTGATTCAACAATGTCATGCTCATAACTGTGCCTGAACTACAACAGGGAACTGCTGCTTTTTCTTTCCTAATCCTTACTATCGTAATTTTCCTCTACTTCTTTTGTATGTTTGTCACACTCTTGTGACCCGCTATTTCCGGGGTTGCCTTGAAAGTCAAAACAGACTTTGTGCTGTTAAAGCAAGAGAGGTGAGCAGAGTAAGCCTGATTCCCTGTAAAGACTTTTCATTTGACATCCACCCCTGGGCGCTCATAAGATCTTATGCAGTTGCGAGCGCCGTAAGACCTCAACTAAATTTTTAAAAAAGAGTTATTTGTATCATCTGAAAGCTTGTTCACTAGTCTTGCTTTGGATGAAAAAAATATCTATTTATCTTGAATAGAAGTCAAGATATTTGCGAATGGAGGTGGTGGGGGTCACCTGGTTTCATAGGTAAAATGAGTGAGAAAATGGCAGCCAAAGAAGAATTATTTGCTTAGCTTTAGAGTCAGTGGAAATTGAAAATTTAAATTTTTTGTGCCTTCAATCGTTTTTCAGTAAAATCCACCTAGGAATGTGTTCTTTAATAGGCATGAAAGGTGTTGAGCCAAATAACGAAAATTGTATAAATAATATAAAAATTCACAAACCTGTGGAAAAATGCCAGTTTCTTCACTTTGATTTTTTTGACGAGCGCCTGATTTCACCACATGCGTCGCATATTATTTTTTAAATTGTTATTATTGTCATCTATTATTGCTGCTATGATAACTGCACTGTGATTGCATATAGTAAAAAAGAGGGTGGGGTATCAAATGCAGTGTTTAGTATTTTGTATTGGGGAAAAAAGTTTGTTTCCTGTTTTTAATACATCATGAAAGTTCAGCGAGACCTGGTCGGTCATTTGCTTGCTTCAAAATCTTGACTTGCTTCGTGCAGTCTGAACAGTTTTTGACTGCCCTTTGAAGTGTTGTGGTTAGGCTCTTTGACAATGCATGCATGCAGAAGTTATGAGTATGATTCCCGTTACAAGATTTAAAAAACCCCAAATGTATCTCTACATTTTGTATTTTTCTTTCACTATCCCCTTTAGATATTATATAGATCTATATCTGTTCAAATTTTTTCAATCTTTTCCTTTTATTCCCCAGATGAGCTAAACTGAACCAGTGTTTTGTGCCCAGGGTCTTGTTGCCTGTTTTGTGTTTTGCACCCAGCTGTTGCCTCCGAGTCGTGCAGTGCCTGTGTTGTTGTCACAGGTGTTGACTGTTTGAGCATGAGGTCTAAATCGGCTGTGGGTCCTGCCAAAGGCGTGGGCAAGCGGCAAGCGACAAGTGGGAAATGCTTTCCCGTCCTGCGGAGAACGAAGCTGGAACGGGGCAGTCTTGTGAAAGCAAAGTCCTCATTGTGTCGAGAAAAGTCTCCTACAAAACAAGCGAAAACTCCTGTATGCGGGGAGAAGTCACCAGCGAGGCAAACTAAGTCTCCACTGCGAGGGGAGAAAGCATCGGCAAGACAAGTGAAGTCTCCAGCAAGTAGGGAGAAATCACCAGCAAAGCAAGGCAAGTCACCAGTATGTGTGGAGAAGTCATTAACAAAACAATGCAAGTCTCCAGTACGAGGGGAGAAGTCATCAACGAAACAAGTAAAGTCACCAGCAACAAGGGAGAAGTCACCAGAGAAACAAGGCAAATCTCAAGTGGGTATGGAGAAGTCACCAGCAAAACAAGGCAAATCACAAGGTGGTAGGGAGAAATCACCAGGGAAACAAGTCAAATCTCCAGCTTTTACTGAGAAGTCACCACCAAAACATGCCAAGTCTTCTGCCTCTGCGTCTACCCCCACAGGCAGTTTCTCAGACAGTGGTGCCTCTTCATCTGAGTCTTCTAAATGTGGGCGGGCGAAATCAGTTGTCAAGGGAAAAGCTTCCCCAGGAGATACTTCTCGTCCAGGATTGGCTAGTCTCAAGAAAAATGGAGTGGCAAGCAAAAGTCTGGGTAAAGCGAAAAATATTGTTAAAAATAAGAAGGCGTCAAAGCCCATGTCAAAGTCTGCCCAGAACTTCAAGGAGTCTATAGATCTATGGGTCATCGCCACTATAGGGAAAAGGGAAGCCAGCTTGAATGCCAGCACAAAAGTGAATATTTTGTATGAGAGTCAGACAGCAGCTCGAGGTGCTGTAAAATCTCCTCCAAAGTCTACAGAGAAAACTGGAATGAAAGCGTCTGCTAAAAGCCAAGAGAAAGGGGAGAGAAAAATAGACAAAAGCAGCAGTACAGCAGGGTCAGCTATTCAGAAGACTGCCAGTGGTAAAGCAAAGGCAGACCAGACCAGCAAAGCAAAGGGGAAGAAGGATGGATTAAAGTCGAGAGAGAAGTCCAAAAAGGCAGCAACAGTGCAATCAGAACAGTCTAGAAAAAGAAAAAGTCCCCATTATAAAATTTTCAGGGATGCTCCGGTACCCAAGTGCAGGAAAATGTCTACGAGTAGCGGCAAAGCCAAGGGGAAATCGGGGAAATCGACTGCAGGGAAGAGGTCAGCCAGCTTGGTCCATGGGGCAGAAAATATAATTGAGAAATCTCCGCGCCAGGCCAGTTTGATAGCCAAAGCCATGATAGCCATGGAGCAAGAGGAGGAGGCGGTACAGGATTCTGCCGCACGAGCCACTAGCTATGACTGGACAGAGACCCGTGTGGTGTCGCACAGTGAGTGTCGTCGACTGCGTTGGGTGACTGGACTCGGACAGTCCACCAGTGACCTGGGAGGGCGAGGAACGGAAGCAAGCGTGGGCGGAGGCTCAGAGAGCGCCGAGTCCAGGTCTGTGGATGCAGTGAGTGAGGTCAAAGGTGGTGAGTCAGAAAAGCCAGAAAGCCTGGAGCAGGAGTCTCTACAGAGCACACTGCTCAAAACACTGCATCATATTGGAGATGCACGCTTGTTGACAGAATACTTCCGTGCCCAGAGAGAAGATTTCCAGGGCCCTGTTGATATTGAGGAGTGTTCCACACCGGAGGTCCAGAAAACAGCAGCACCAGCTAAGAAAAAGTTGGAAAACCCAGTGGTAGAAAAAGCTGAAAAGGTGCTGGAAAAACTGACCAGTTGCTCCCCTGCTAAACCAGAGCCATGTCGAGTTGACACACCGATTCCCCAGTTTCCTGTTGGCCAAAGGACCAGCCACATGACCAGTTTCATCCACCAGCCCATCGCACAGACGGTGTACCCCCCACAGCACACCCACCAGCTGCCCATCAAAGTGACACCCTATGCACCCAGCGCTGCCTACCTGTATCAGTATGCTGTAGACCGCCAGCAGAATGTGTTTCTTCCTCCAAGCCCCTCCCCGGTTCCTTATGCTGTCAGCAGCGGGGATGTCTCTCAGCGACAGTATTCCTCCTTCTCTCTCAACCACATGGGCAGCTTGAGTTTTGGCAGACGGGGTGTGAACCCCTACCCCCCAAGCCCGAGTTATAGCACTTCGATACACCTGCCAGTGCAGCCTGTGGGTAAGTACAGGTTTGTGGTCAAGTTATGATTGTGTAAAGCAGTTCAGATTTTAGGTCTAGTGCTGTTTGAAAGACAAGTCTCATGTTGAAGTTAAGGTCTTGTGTAGATTGAAAGAGCAGAGTTATTGTTAGTGCAGGTTGTAAGACATCACTTGTTAGACTTATCTAGGGTGGTCAGGTTTTTCTAGAGTAAAGACGGGTAGATAGTGGCGTTGGTAGTCTAGTGGTTAGGCTACTGGGCGGGTAATCATGAAGTTACTGAAAAAGTTTAAAATGTGTCCCTCGCGCTCATATGACCTTATGCAGTTGCGACGGCCGTAAAAACAATTACCCCCCAAAAATTTTTAAAAAATCATAAAGTTACTTTTTTTGTTCTATTCCTAGTAAATATCCTCACGATTTACTGCATAGAAGCAGAGTGTTGGAGACCTGATTGTCTCAGTCACCATCATGGTGGTCTTCATCTTCATTATTTATATTATTACAATGTTTTAGACCTTTTGGCAGTACAGAAATGTATAGCTAGTGGATGGAGGACACCACTGCAGGGCTGCCCAGCTTTTCAAATTTGGCAGAATCGATACAATTAGAAATTTTTTACAAACAGAAATACGGTCGTAATTCCCCTAATTCCGATTTTTGAAAATCCATTTGCTGTTCTGCTACCCCAACCCATCAACACCTTCCTGGCTTATAAAGAAGAAAAACAGTCAGGCTTTGACAGTGTACTTCACATGCAGCTAACTTTCAACACCCTCTGCACATTTAACCTTTGTAGTCACTCAGTGCCACTTTGCCCTTTTAGAGAGAAAAACAGTAGTAAGGCAAACATTAGGTTAACGAGGTGTTGAAAAATTCTTACCCTTTTGTTTTTGGCTGTCCCAGTGGTTTTTCCGTTATCAATCTTTGTTAAAATTAACAGAATCGCATAATTTCACATTTTTGGGCTCAGTTTGCATAATTTCAGAATTTTTTTTGCATAAAACCGCGGGGACAGGCTTTTGGGTGACAGCATAGGCCAATGAGAGAATTAAAAAAAACAACCCAACAAATAACACAGATCACTGTTTCAAACTCTAAGGTACACCACGGCAGCAGCCAACAGTCAAAAAAGTCAGTTTTGGTATCCAAAGCAGATTTTTCGATTTTGGACTATTTTAGTGACGCATTGGAAATATTTTCAAGTGTCTAAAACATTTATAAAGTGCTCACATATGCCTTGTTTTTTTAACATTGTGTCGTAATAGACCGGTAGGAATTAGGTTTTTTAAAAGTTTTCTCAAAACTATGATTTTCTTAGGGGGGGGGGTCACCTGTGCAGAGATGTTTCTGAAAGTACACGTTACAGCTCAATCCCACTTTGCATGACTGTTTCTAGATAATGTGTTTGCAACATACTAAAAGATTATTGTGATGTTGTAATAAGTTTTCTGTCAGTGTAAAAAAAATTGACAGTATCACTCTGATTTGTGATCATTTTTTTTGTCGAAGTATCATATATGACACTAAAAGGACAGTTACAAGAGAAGTATGAGAGTTAGGGAAGTAAATCTTTAGTAGGTTGCAGTTTGTATATACACAAACCCTGAGTGATAATATCAAAACTGTATCTATTCAATCTTTTTCAGATCCTTGCACACAATTTGCGCGAATTTTGGTCTGTCGAACCCTTTGCATCTAAAAAATTAAAAAAATTAACAGTGAAATCATATAGGGATAGTGTGTTTTTGTTTCTTGACCCATATTGGTTTTTGGGAATCCCAGTATACTTAATTTTGAGCTCAAACAAAAATTTTCACTTCAGCTGTACCTAGTTCCCCTTAAAACAATTAGCTGCGAACGTGACATGGATCGGAGACTTGTAACATATTCTGTTGTTCAGAAGGTTTCTTTTGTTTACTTTAACCTCTCCCCTCCCCCCGTTTTTTTGGGTTTAAAAACGATACTTCACAATAATGAGCTAGCCAAGACTTCTCTCATCACACCTTTTTTTACATTACAGTTATCTTGAACCTGCAATGTCTTAGACAACCCCCTCCGGGGCGGTTCTACTGACTGAAGTGTCTTTAGGCCATTCCCAAAGGGGAGGACTTAAACATGTTCTTATGCACAGTAGAATTGTAAATGGGCTGATTCGTCAATGTCATGCTCATAACTAACTGCCTGAACTGCCACAGGAAACTGCTGCTTTTTCTTTCCTCATCCTTACTATCGTCATTTTTCCCTCTACTTCTTTTGTATGTTTTTCACCCTCTTGTGAACCACTTTTTCTGGGGTGCCTTGATAGTTGAAGCAGACTTTGTGCTGTTGAAGCTAGAGAGGTGAACGGAGAAAGCCCGATTCCCTGTAAAGACTTCTCTGTTGACATCCACCCCTTGGCACTCATATGACTTTATGCAGTTGCGAGCGCCGTAAAACCTCTACTAAAACTGACTGTTGTAGACACCCATGTGAAAAGGCCATATTACAAATTTTAAAGCCAGATTACTAAGTTTTTATTTGTGCTGCTGATTACTGAGACATGCTGGTGGATGGGCAACCTTGCACTGGTAGGTTCCTCTTCTGTTCTTTCCCTCTACTTTCATAAGATCGTGCCTGACTGTCTGCCTGTTTTGCTCTATCTTTGCTCTGAATGAGCGTTGCTATATTGATTTTTATATCTCCTTATTCAAACAAACAAACAAGAAATATCTAATATTTTTATTTTGTATGTGTCCTCAGCAGGCTTTACCGTGCCTTCATACTACCCGAGCTGTCTAACTGCTGTCGGTCAACAGAGTCTATCAGGCGTGTCTAACACACCACTGGCACAGCAGAACCTATCTGGCATGTCGAATGTATCGCTGGCTCAACAGAACCTCTCTGGCATGTCCAATCTTCCCCTGGCACAACAAAACCTGTCTAGCGGCATGTCTGGCATGGCTCTGGCACAACAGAACCTGTCTGGAGGTGTGTCTGGTGTAGCTCTGGGCCAGCAACAGTTTCCCATGCTCCAGTCCTCAGTGGTCCCCGGCCACCAGTATGTCCAGGACATGGCCAGGTTGGGGGGCTTCACGGCCGGCTATGGACAGCATCAACAAATGAATCCCCTGGTCCAGGATAACTCCTGTATGCCCCCTCCATCTGCACCTCCACCACCCTCACCTCACAGGCAAGCAGCTGGCAGTCAAGGCGTTCAGCCTACCCCTGTCCGACCCCGCCCAGTAGCACACAGACCTGCTCCATCCTTGTCTGAAATCAGGAGCCCGGAGGCTCAGAGACCCATGAATCCTGTGGCTGCCGCTGAGCCCCTGGCAAAGTTGCGGGCTCTTGACTTGTCAGCGGGACGCAGAAACTCTGTTGTCCACAGTGGGGGTAGTTTTGTGGGATGTCAGCCTGCAGTGGGAGTACGCAACCCTCTGTCACATTCTGGGCACGAAGAGGTGGAGAGTAAAGCGTTTGTGTTCTCCTCTCCCCCTGCAGCCAAGCGCAGGATGATGATGTGCAAGCTAGAGGAGGATGGGACCAGCAGTGATTCTCTCTGTAAGGCAATGGGTAAGAGTGTGCCACAGCGCGGGGCTGGCGGAAACGCTGGCCAGGTAAATGCATCTGTGTCGTCGGGTATGTTGTCCAGTGTTTCTTCCAGCGTGTCGGACGTGCTGCACAGTGCCCACAGCACAGTCTACCAGCAGGACCAAGGGGCTTCTGTGGTGCCGCATGTTGAAGACGCCCACCACACCCCCACCCCCTCGACCAGTACACACATGCTGGATGGAAGAAGCAATGAGACCTTGACCTTTAAGTATTCAGTGTCTTCAATCCTTGACATGCCGAGCCAGAAAATCAAGTCAGAGCCCCAAATAGGCCGTGTAGGGCATGTTATGTTGTCATCATCCCAGAAGGGCCAGGCCGGGCCATTTGTGACGTCGTCGTCCCATGTGGGCCGTGTGGGGCCAGTTGTGACATCATCACCTCACATGGGCCGTGTGGGGCCAGTTGTGACATCACCACCCCACATGGGCCGTGTGGGGCCAGTTGTGACATCACCACCCCACATGGGCCGTGTGGGGCCAGTTGTGACATCACCCCACATTGGGACATCATCACCCCACATGGGCCGTGTGGGGCCAGTTGTGACATCATCACCCCACATTGGGACATCATCACCCCACATGGGCCGTGTGGGGCCAGTTGTGATATCATCACCCCACATGGGTCGTCATGTGGGGCCGGTTGTGACATCACCACCCCATATGGGCCGTGTGGGGCCAGTTGTGACATCATCACCCCACATGGGTCGTGTGGGGCCAGAAGTGTCGTCATCACCTCAAATGGGCCAGGTATTGCCTGCTGTGTCATTGTCACCACAAATGGGCCATGTTGGGTCGACTGTGTCATCAACACCTCAGACTGGCCATGTGGGGCCAGTTGCAGCGTCATCTCCCCAAATGAGTCGGGTCGGGCCTGATGTGGCGTCATTGTCGTCTGGTGACTCTGGATCCTCTTCACTTGTCCTGGATAGCTCTGTTTCTGCTGGCTTTACACCTGGTAGCTTGTCTGGTTCCAGCAAAGAAAGAGAAGTTTGTCGTAAGGAGACAATAGTAACGACAGAGGATAAAGAAGCCCCAGGGGCACGTGGGGAAGGGGCGGGCAGAAAAGACATGCCGCAAGCTAGTAATGTGATTGTGATCGAGGACAGTGATGATACTTCAGATGATGAGCCGTTGGCCAATCTGGTGAAGATGAAATGTGGAGATGAAGGCAACGACAGCAAAAGTGAGACCACTGTCTCTACAGTGAAGGGTCCGCAAAAGAACAACAAAGAGAAGACTAAAAGTCGACTGGACAGAGCAATAGAAGACAAGACTACTGTGGCTGGTGGAAAGTCCAGTCTTTCCAGAGGGAAGGGGGCTGTCAAAAAGGCTGAGAAAACGGACAACAAAAGAGTGGGTGCTGCAGCTTTGGCTGTGGCTGACACAGGGGAGAAGACTGGCCGAGCTGGTGTCAAAGCCAAACCAGACTGTTCCCGGGTAGTCTTGAAGCCTCAACTTAATGTCAACCACAGCAATAGCAGCAATAGCAACGTCATCAACAACAACAACAATAACAACAACAACAACAACAGTGCAAAATCAGGCAAGTTGCCGCAGTCATTACTCGAGGGCTCAAAGGCTGCTGGGAAAGAAACAAAGGCTAAAAGTAGTGTGAAGAAATCTGCCAAAGTTCAGGGCACTGGGAAGAAGTGCAGACCGGAGACACAGGTGTGCCCGAGTCCCAGCAAGACGTCCCTGGCACATGGCTGGAGCTGGCTGGGGGAGGGGGAACTGAAGGCAATACCCAAGTTGACGATGGTGAGTGCTTGCATTTTTGTTTTGGGGAATGGGATGGGAGGGAGGGCTATACCCAAGTTGACACGCTCAGTTTTTGTGTTTGTGTGTTTGGTTTGGTGGGGGATGAGGGGTGTATGTGTGATTGTGGTTTAGAGAGGGGGGAGGGGGGGGGGGGAGAGACTGAGAAGACAATGCCCAAGTTGACATGGTCAATTTTTGTGTTTGTGTGTTTGGTTTTGTGAATGGTGTATGTGTGATTGTGGTTTGGAGAGAGGGGGAGACTGAGAAGGCAATACCCAAATTGACATCAGTTTTTGTGTTTGGTTGGGGGGTATGTGTGTGTTTGTGGTTTTGGGGGG